GGATCTATACTTTTATTCTGAACGCCCATGAGTTCTGACACGGCATACAGTAAACAAATATCACGCGCTCTAGCCAACATGCGGTCCTCTCTCTCTCTCTCTCTACCTTTCAATGTCTTACTTTCTCTCTCCCCCTTTTGACGTCTCACTCGACAAACTCCGCCGACCCCGGCCTCCTACGCCTCCGGCTTCTTCACAGGCGGCAGCAGGCTCCTCGTCATCTGGCGGGCGTGCTGGGCCATGAGGGCGTCCATGATGACAATGGCGGCCATGCCCTCGACAATGGGGATGGCGCGGGGCACGACGCAGGGATCGTGCCTGCCCTTGGCGGCGAGGACGCCGCCCTCCTCGCCATCGTAGGTGGCCGTCGTCTGGTCCTGGCCAATGGTGGCGGCGGGCTTGAAGGCGACGCGGAAGTAGATGGGGGCGCCGTTGGAGATGCCGCCCTGGATGCCGCCGCTAAAGTTGGTCTTGGTCGTGAGCTTGGAGCGCGGGATGCCGAGGCGGGCCGTCTCGGCGGCGGCGCGGGCGTCGTCCTCGGGGGCGCGGATAAAGGCGTCGTTGTGCGTCGAGCCAGGGACCTCGCAGCCGGCAAAGCCCGATCCGATCTCGAAGCCCTTGGTGGCCGGGATGCTGAGCATGGCGTGGGCGAGCAGGGCCTCGAGCTTGTCGAAGCAGGGCTCGCCGAGGCCGGCGGGCGGGTTCTTGATGACGCAGGTGACGGTGCCGCCGATCGAGTCGTCACGGTCGCGGAAGCCGGCAATGTAGTCGTTCATGGCCTCGGACGTCTCGGTGTGCGGGCAGCGCACGGGCAGGAACTTGTCGACGGTGGCGCGGTCGATGGTCTGCAGGAGCGAGAGGAAGGCGGGGTTCGTCGAGGGCGAGGGGTGCTCAGGGGTCGGCGGGAAGAGGTGGACGTTGCCGATGCTCGTCGTGAAGGCCGTGATCTCGGTGCCGTAGGCCTCGCGCAGGTACTTTTCGGCAACGGCGCCGGCGGCGACGCGGGCAATGGTCTCGCGCGCCGAGGAGCGGCCGCCTCCGGAGGAAGCCTTGATGCCGTACTTGGTGAGGTAGGTCCAGTCGGCGTGCGAGGGACGCGGGAAACGGTCCATCGTCTTGTTGCCGTAATCCTTGGGACGCTGGTCCTCGTTGGGCACGAGCATGCCAAGCGGTGTGCCCAGGGTGTAGCCAAACTCGGTGCCGGACTGGATGGTGACGCGGTCCTTCTCATTGCGGGGTGTTGTGATGGCAGACTGGCCGGGCCGGCGACGTGTAAGCTGGGGCTGAATGTCGGACTCGTCGAGGGCGAGGCCAGGGGGCACCCCATCGACAATGACGCCGACGGATTTGCCGTGGGACTCGCCGTAGCTGGGAAACCATTATCAGCTCCTTGTGTTTGGCGGAGGCGGGGGCGGCCATGTAAAATGCCCAGTCTGTCAATTGACTCACGTGGTGACCTTGAAGTAGGTTCCGAAAGTCGACATGATGACTCTGATGTCTGCTGGTGTGTGGGAAAGGAGATGAAGAAAAAGAAAAGGGGAGAAGAAGACGAAAGAGACGGAGGCAGAGGTTCCAGGGTCGTGACTCAACGAAGATTCAGCAATGGCAACAGCAACTGGTCATGGTGGTGCGCTTTCCTTTGGGGGGTGCCGTCAAGCCGATCGCGGCGGGGGAGGGGTCTGCCCCTGTACAGCGGTGGGCCCGGTAGTTGTGTTCTGATCAATGAATTCCATGAGTATATGTTTAAATGCATACACTCATCAGCTCGAGGTCCAGGGGTCGGTCGAGCTTTCAAGGACATCCATCATCATTCTCGCGATCTGGGTCAACTCTTCTCATCGCCATCGGAATACCAGCACAGTTCCCTCGCAAATGTCTGTCAATAGACGTCACACCTCATACATCCTGCAATCGACGAAGCTAACAGCCACCCAAATCCCCCGATCATCATGAGACGCCACAACACATCATGACAATGCTCTCCCCAACACCAGCCGTCACCATGAGGCTCATCTCCCGCCGGCCCCCGAGAGCACGCCCTCTCTTCCACTCATCCAGACCATTCTCCTCCTCGCCGTCTCCCAGACGACCCTCGCCCCTGGCCTCTGTCGCAACCGCCAGAACCCAAGTCTACATCTCTCGCTCGTCAGACCCCTTCCTCAACCTGTCCATAGAGCACCACCTCCTCCAGACGACGCCCTCCGAATCCACCGTGCTCTTCCTGTACACGAACCGCCCCAGCGTCGTCATAGGCCGCAACCAGAACCCCTGGCTCGAGCTCAACCTGCCCCTGCTGCACGCCTACGTCCCCCGCCCCGCGACCCAAGGCCGAGGAGACGACGGCAAGGACGGCCACGCCGCCGGCGTCACCCTCGTGAGGCGACGCTCCGGCGGCGGCAGCGTCTTCCATGATGCCGGCAACGTCAACTTTAGCGTCATCTGCCCGCCCGCCGCCTTTGACCGCGACCGCCACGCCGAGATGGTCGTGCGCGCCCTCCGTGGTCTCGGCGTTCCCGGCGCCCGCGTCAACTGCCGCCACGACATTGTCGTCGACGTTGGCATCGATGCTGACGCTGATGCTGATGCTGGCTCTAAAAAGGCTGGCGTCAGGGCACTGCCGCAGGCCTCGTCAGCTCCGGCGCCCGAAACCTGTGCCGCCAACAGGGGGCCCGAGGACGGCAAGGCGACGTTCAAGGTGTCCGGGTCGGCGTACAAACTAACGAGGTTGCGGTCGCTGCATCACGGCACGTGTCTGCTGTCGTCGCCAAACCTCGGGTCCATCGGGCAGATGCTGCGGTCGCCCGCCGAGCCCTTCATCAAGGGCCGCGGCGTCGAGAGTGTGCGCTCGCCGGTGCGCAACGTCGGCGTCGGCAACGAGGAGTTTGAGGGGGCCGTCGTCCGCGAGTTTGGCGCCATGTATGGTGCCTTTGACGTCATTGCTGAGGTGAATGAGGACGCCGCCGAGTTGGAGAGCGTGCGGAAGGGCATGAAGGAGCTGCAGGTGAGTTTTGGCACCAGCAGTACCCGCCATCGGCTGCACCGTATTCCCCCCTCGCAGACTGCTAATCGCCCCGTCGCAACATTAGTCGAGAGACTGGCTCTACGGACAGACACCGCTCTTTTCCTTCTCGACCCGGCCCACGGAGGACGACCCGAGGCCGAGGCCAGCGCTGCCTGACGACGTGAGTAGCTACTTTTCCCCACACAACCATTGCGAGAAAGACCGCCGTTCTCTCAAACATGGCTAACAGCGACAGTTCAACCTGAGCTTCGAAGCTCGCCAGGGCGTGCTGCAGAGTTTCGTCCTCGGCAGCACGTCGCCTGCGGGCGAAAAGTGGTCAGTTGCATCGCTTGCCGATGCCAAGATACACGACGTCGACGACTGGGTGGAGCGCCTTCGCGGAGGCGGCGTTAACAGCGATCGGGCCTCAGCCATCGGCTCCTGGCTCAACGGCCTTTTAGGCGCCGGTGGCGGTCGGTGAACCTGTTCGCGAGGTGCATGTGTGCGCCGTGACACAAACACACATATTCTTGTACTGCTACCTGTATGATATCGCTAGCATGGCCAGTGTTGGAAAGAATCAGGCCATCATCATGGCAATGACACCGGCCGGCACCATGTTCTGAAACTAACAAAAGAACGACGCGCAATTTGTTCACACCAGGAGAGTCTGTTGCCCGTCACGAGCTTGCATCGAGGAGCGCCCCAGCTGAATCCATCGATCATCTGCCGCATATAGTCGTAACGGAGCTTGCGAGGCGGCCATCATGATATCGTCATCGTTCGCACGCAACATCTTCCCCGTGCTTGAGCCCCCTCCCCTAGTCTTCCACCAGGCATCCCAAAAGGAGAACAGCCTCACCAGCATATGATCAATAGGGGAGGGGAATCACGCACTGGGTTGTCAGGAGGTTCTCGCAAGCCGCCTCCCCGCGCGACCCGCAACCCTCGCGCAACACCCGTTCCGTATGTATCATTGGACCCTGGCACGCGAGAAGGCTGCAAAGGCAGTGAGACACTCTTGGCTAGTGCCGAAGCGGGACCCGAGTGGCCACCCAGCCGGGCGAGCAGTTGTGAGTGGTGCACTGCCGCGGATGTCCCAAGAGATCCGGGATTTTGTAAAGGGGGATGATGGCTCATTCCTACTTGGCCAGACCAGGCGGCATGGCCAAGTGAACAGAGTCCTGAACCAGGTTGTGTTTGCCGCTGCGCTCATGGGTTCAGCCCGGAGTGAGACACCATTGCCCACCACCAACAAGTCGGCGTGCGGCTGAGCCACTACGGTGCGGCGTCATCGACAGATTGCTCCAATCCACCTCCTTCGCCGAATGCATCCAAGGCTGGCTGGCTGAAGATTTGCTCACGGCACCCACCTTGAGAGACTCGGAGCGCAAGATGGAATGGCTGGCTGCCAATATTACGAGCGCGCGGCGTCGCAGGAAGGTGTGGCTGCCGTCTTTTTTTTCCCCTTTGCACAAGACCAGTGCTGGCCATCATGTCTTGCATCTAGGCCTGAAACGGGCGTCGTCAGTATTGCGGGCGGCGCATCCGGTGAGGGTGCGTTCGTATTGAGAACACAAACCTGGCCATCTTACTTCCATCATGACGCCCATGCAGCCCTCGTCTTGCGGAATAATCATCGAGAGAGTATATCCATTGTGGTTGAAAATGGCAGATGACGCGCAGTAGCATATTGTCAGCCTCCTAGATCGATGCACGGCTGATCACCACATCTCGGAGCGCAGGCAGTGGTCGCCAGGATGAGCCTTGGAGGTGAGAACCACTCAGAGGCCGCACGGGTGTCCTGCTACGAGCATGTTCGCCTCACTGAACGTTGAGAGCAGGGTAGCATCGGACTCGCTGCATCACATCGCCGTTCCTCCTTCGACAGTCGACGCCTCACCAATCACAAGGCGGACCATGGTCCGACCAGCTGAACCAAATCGGCACCATCCCTCTCTTTGTTGATGGCTGCGACTTGGGCGAATGGATGCTGCTCGTGGCCCCTCCGCATTGTCCCATCTTCCCCTTGCTCGTGTCGATCGCATACGCAGCTTGCTTCTTTCTCTCCTGGCATAGCGCACCACCACGCGGAGCCAGGCTAGAGACGGGACGCCCCTCGGTTCGATGTATTGCATGCATGGTAGCTGTGCAAGTCGATCGGACCGCCGCTGTGTTTTCTTTTCTATTCTTCTTGTTCGTCGGGGTGCGGCCGTACATTCAAGGCTGGCATGCAAAGGCATGACTTGTGCGTTACCGGTCAACTCGTGTGCCACATCCTTTCCAGCTCAGCCAGGGCGGTGTGGCATACCAAGAGCGCGCTACAAAAGCAAAACGGACTCAGGCCGAGGGTCATGGCTCACAATGAACTGCTGAAGCATCGCTCACCGGCTTCAACGAGGGCGCGCAATGGGCCAAGGACCCGTCAGCCACCAAAAATCCAGTGGTGACGGTTAGAAAAGTGATAAGCACATGCCGACAAATGTGAAGAAAGTCTAAAAGAGTGACGAGACAAGTCCACGGAGGTTGTACCCGCCGGAATGTGAGCAGTCACATCGCGGAGGTGCAGCAGAGCCTGTCTAGGGCAATATCACGCGGGGCTGGCTCGCAACGAGGTCCTGATCCCTGTCATCCCCTTTTCCTCATGTAGTCCTTTCTTTGAGAGGACCAAGTATGTGGACTTGTTGACGAACTGAGGGACATGAAGCTCTTCGCCTAGCTTTTTCTCCCCCGATCTAGCTCTTCTTTCCCCGTGGAGGGCTCCCTATGACAGCTGAGCTACTTTCGCCGAAACGCATGGCGGGCGGGCGGTTACTAGCTCCCGTTCAAGTTGTGAATGCCATCGGTGTGAAGACAGAGGCGACCGAACTGCTGGAATGTGACGCGAGTGGGATTCGTGAACTGGTTAAACTTCCCATACGCAGTGGACGGAAAAGATAGACTTCCCCACGAAACCAGAGCGCAAACGTTGCACCATAATCACCGGCCACAAGAGAAGCCAACGATCTTGGGTAGGAGCCAGAAAGGCGCGTGAAGTGATGCGATTCGAAGCCATTCCGCATGTCTTATCACGGCGAGCCCAGGAAAATGTGTGGGGGAAAAGGCGAAGGACACAGCAACCTTCATTCTTTGCCGTACCGTGCCATGCCGTGCCATGCCGTGCCATGTCACGACGAGTGCGTTTTGCACAGGGCGGTCATTCCCTCTTTGGGACGAACTGCGAAGCCATCGTGAGTCGGCGGAAGAGGGGGCCAACTCACGATAGTGGCCCCTGCTGCTTTTTGTGATCCACGATGACCCGGGTCCAGACCCGGCCATGGCGCACAGGCAGGATCTGACAGGTCTAGACTGGCACGTCCGCTTTCAACAGTGCAAACGAAGAACATCGTGAGCCCGCCCGGCAGCGGCTCTCGCAGGCATTGCTGGCATTGCTGGTGCGTACCGCCTGCGGCGATTCCGGTGCTGCCACGCATGTCTGATGTTGTTGGTCTTTGATATGCAGGCGCTTGCTTTCATACACCATCGGACCGTTGCTTGCCGATGTAGGGTGCGAGTCTTGTCTGCCTCTAAACGAGTCATTGCTGTAGGTCTTCTGGAGCGCTTCAATAATCCAGTGAATATTGAAGCGTTATATATTTGGGCATAAACATCGAGCATGAAGATGAGGTGCAGCCGGCACTGCAATCAAATACATCATAGCCGACAAGCAGTGGTCTGTGAAAGCCCGGCAATGGGATTTTGTCTCCGCTGGCTGAGAGTCCAGGAAAACGTAAGGGAAATCAAGGGTGCAACAGAGAGCACAGACTGGGATGCCTGGTCACGAACCATGGGCCGCGCTACCGCTATCAGAACGCTAAAACACCTGGGCGTCGATAGGCAAGGGTGTGGTGGCCTTGATCGACGCGACGACTCAGGGGGGGGGCTCAGCACTGTGCGCTCTATGTCCTAGGTCAGCCTACGAACTCAGGCAAAAGCGTTCTCAGGGGGCCCGGTACGATGGTGTTGGTTGGGTGAAGGAAGGCAGCTTACGCTTGTGGTGGTCGCATCGTCAATTACTGTGACGCGCCGGCCTAGCATTAGAGGCGGCAAAGGCGTCGAAAACTTGCTCGAAAGTTGCTGGATCGTTAGTCGTGGCAGGCAATACAACAAGGTGAAGGACATGGTACTGACTGCACCTGGTGCATGTTCCTTGCCTTGCCCTGCTCTGTTGCCGGGTGATGAAGGGGTCACTTATGGGGCAGACGACGGTACATGTAGAGCGCGATGTGGACTTGACGATCCCAACCAACCTCCAGGCCAGGGTTCATTGCGAACCTATTCCCCTGGTCTTGGTGAACATGTGGCCGAGTGGTGAAGAAGACGAGGTAGCAGTGGCAGCAGTGGCAGTAGTATGCAGCAACGTGGAGACGAGGTAAAAAGTGATTAGGCACGTACTGCCCGAGGTTGTGACGAGGCAATGGTCCGTACGACGATGCAGGTCCATCCTGGGCTTCATAGTGGATAGGCATCGGCAGACGGGCAAAGGGCCCGATTGACCTGCTTTGGTCGCTGCAGGCTTCAGCTACCATGCCGAAAAGAGTGTCACAAGAGATTTCAACCTCGCATGGAATCACAATGCTGTTCTACCATGAGGGTGTGGGGGGCTGACCTGCAGACGACCTGATCCAGAGAAAAACGCGTGAAAAAGAGGCCGCATCGTCATGACATGATCTGACCTCGCTCAATCGAATTGGAGGTGCGGCGGCGCCCCTATCTCGGGCTCTCTCTCTCCCTCCCTGCTGCTCGGGCTAATAGGTGCTGCAGGACAAAGCCTGGCTTGGGCTGCTGGGAATCGGATGGGTTGGGCGTGGCACCCAGGGTGCGGATGGGTTGGCGTCCAGATGGTCCAATGAGGGGCGGCTGTGTTCCCGCCGCACGCGATGCAGCAGCAGCTTGGTAACCTAGGACGACGATGTCCATTGAACGTTATTTCTGGCCATGGGCTTGTACTCGCAGGGCAGCTCGGCAAAGGCAGTGAGCATGGACAAGTATAGGCGAGCCCAGCAGCACGGCGCTGGCGAACGGGACGTAAGGAGGAGTTTGGCTTGGTACGGCGACATGGGTGACGGGTGACGAGCGACGAGCGACGAGCGACGAGCGACGGGCGACGGGCGACGGGCGACGGGCGACGAAGGCAAGCGAGCAGGTGCTTTTGCCCAAGGTTGGTTGCTGTCTGTCAAGTTGATGGGATCGACAGGATGAGGCGGCGGAGGCGGCGGCGGGCGGCGACGGCGGAGGACCTTAGTTTTGCTTTGTTGGGCGCAACTGTTCAAAGCCATGTTGGGTTTTTTTGTTGTTGCTGGTGGTGGCCGATGCTGCCGATGTCGGGCGCTCGTCTAGTCTGTCTTTTGCTCGCTATTCTGCTCGCTGAACAAATGCGCGCTCGCCAAGCCAGGTTTCCAACGAGAATCAAGCCAAGGCCTGATCGACAGATTGATATCAGGGCCCGAGCCTTGTTCATTGACGCATGGCTTGATGATTGATGAGGTGACACACGCGACAAGGGGGAGGGGTTCCAACCTGGCCGCGGAGATGGCGGGAGTTTGAGGATCGCGAAGAGTCGATGGCCCAAGGGTTGGTTAGTGGTGGACTGACAAGACTGGCAAGGCTGGTCACTGGAGTCTCACCAGAAATGTCACGGCGAGACGAGACGACGGCGGGCGGAGGAGCGTGAGGCTTGGCCTAACGCGGAAAAGCAGCGTCAGAAAGAGGAAAGCAGCGATGTCCGGCTGTGGAGACCCATAGATTGTGGCAGTCACAACCCACACAGCCAATGGAAGAGAAGAGACACATGGTCCTGGCACGATAAGGCCCCAAGGAGCCCCTGCCTGTACTGTAGGTACATGGACCGAGTGTCCACCCAGCCAGCGCCTCCCTGGTCTCTCTCTGCAGGAGCGACCCAGATGGGCTCCGCCTGGAGCCCACCACTACGTCAACCACATCGAGTGAAGCCGCTCAGTGTGCGCTTGGCATTGGGCGATGCCAAGTACACTGGCTCACGGCAGGACCAGTGTGGTAAGAGCAGCGCACTGTCCTTCAACTGGCCCCAAAAAGATTCTGAGCAGTCACATTCTGGGGAATACCATGTGCAGTTGCAGGCGCAAGGTGCAGGCAGGAGCCCTTGGAGCCCCCCCTTCCCCCGTCCACCTCCAGGTCGCTCGAGGTAGGTGTCACATCCTCCCGCTCATAGCGCGATGTGATGCCCCTCCAATGCAACCTCAGATGATGTAAGATGAGTCGTTGCCAGTGGCAATGGCAAGCTTGGTGGATGGGGTGCGGCAAGAGTTGGGGATGCGGAGGCGGGAGAAGACGAAGAAAGAAGAGCAGGAAGATGAGGAGACGTTGGTAGGTACAGAGACATGTGGCTTGGATGACTGAAATTGTATCCTCCTTCTTCGCCTCTTACCTCTTGCCTCTTCCGCTGTTCTGCCTGCTTCTCTGCGGATGGCATTTGGCGCACAGGACTTTGTCTCTCATGTTCAACCTACCTATCTACATGTACTTGTACCTGTCTACCAGTCTAACGCACTGCGTCCTGGTGCCTCCGCATCCACAGGAGAAGGCCCA